TTTCAAACCATAAATTGATTTATGCAGTCTGCAAACAGCATTAGGTGGTAGAGAACCAGTAGCAGGTGTATATCCTTGAGGTAAGCTCATGTAGATTTCCTCATCAAGTTCACTGTGAAGAAAGGCATTTGTAACATCCATTTGAGTAAGGCTCCAGTTTTTCTTTGCTGCAAGACCAAGTATGAGCTTCACAGTAGCTAATTTAGCAACAGGAGAAAAAGTTTCAAAGTAATCAACCCCCTCTTGCTGAGTATAGCCTTTTGCAACTAAACGGGCCTTATATCTTTCAATGTTACCATCGGCATTGTATTTAATAGTGTATACCCACTTACATCCAACAACATTCTTGCCAGGAGGCAAAGAAACAACACTCCATGTCTTGTTCAATTCCATAGCCTCAAGTTCCACATCCATAGCTTTAATCCATTTCTCTGATGCTATGGCTTGTTTAAAAGAAGTAGGTTCTGTTTCTAGAGAATATGAAAGAACAATAGACTGGTATGGATTTTTAAGCTGGGAATAAGAAAGGACAGATGATAAAGGATAAGGAGTAGTGAATATTTTGGTGGAACTGGTAGATGGTGTATAGGAAACTTTAGCTAGGGAACAATGATAGTCAGATAAGTAATTGGGTACCTTAGCATTTCGTTTTGGCCTTTCTCTTGGTAGGGAAACCACAGCAGTCTCTGCAGGTATAGTCTCATTGACAATAGGTAGGACACTAGAGTGACTGTGCCGTGTATGAGATGTATGTGATGAATGAGATGCAGATCCAGGACCACCATATACAGTTTCCAATGTTTCAATTTCAACAGGTATAGGTAAAGGCATAATGACTTTGTTAAAAATATCATCAGGAACAGAATTTTGCTCAGTCTGAAATGGGAAAATGTTTTCATGAAAGATAACATTGCGAGAAACAGTAATCAAGTTTGAATCTAAATGTAAAACTTTATAGCCTTTATATCCTGTTGAGTATCCTAGAAATACACATTTATCAGCACGAGGACTAAACTTGTTTCTGTCTTTTAACAATGTGGAGACATAGCACAGACAGCCAAATGCTTTTAAAGGAGAATAATCTGGTTTCTTTTTAGTTAACAATTCATATGGCGACTTATTCTCTAAAATAACAGAAGGCATGCGATTAACTAGAAAAACTGCAGTGTAAACACATTCAGTCCAATAGACAAGGGGAATATTTGACTGAAATAAAAGGGCTCTTGTAACATTCAGTAAGTGTTGGTGTTTACGTTCTACTACTGAGTTCTGTTGAGGGGTATAAGGACATGAAAACTGATGAATCATGCCATGTTCCTTAACAAGTTCAGTAAATGCAAGCTCAGGAGCATTATCAGTTCTAATTCCTTTAATAACAGCATTATACTGAGTCTTAACAAGAGAAATAAAAGCTGGGAAATGTTTTAAAACTTCACTTTTATTCCTCAACATATAAATCCAAGTTACTCTAGTACAATCATCAACTATTGTTAAGAAGTACTTAAAACCTTCAATAGATTCTGTTGAAAAAGGACCCCATACATCAAGATGAACTAATTCAAAGGGATTCATAGCAAAATGATTATTAGACCCAAAAGATAAACGCTTCTGTTTGGCCAGAGGACAAACAGAGCAATGAGAAAGATTATCCAGAGAACTTTTAGAAATAGGTAGAGTACCAGACAACTGTAGTAACTTGTCAACAGATGGATGTCCTAGGCGTTTGTGCCAAAGATCACCATCAACCTTCAAGGATCCAGAGAATGATGACTGTATGGATTGTATTGAATGATGCGAAGTAGGAATATCTAGTTGTAGAATATAGAGATTATGCATAAGAGTGCCTCTACCAATCGTCAATCCCTGAATAAACTCCTGAATGAAACATGAATCAACATAAAAATGAGCTGAACAGTGATTTGATCTTAGTAAACTACTAACAGATATGAAATTAAACTTGAAAGATGGTACATGTAAAACATCATGCAGAATTAATGATTGTGTAATGGGAACAATGCCAGTGTGTGTGATTGCCACTCTAGTATCATTAGGTAAAGAGACATTTACCCCAGAGACTGAAATAGTTTCACTAAAAAGAGACAAGTCAGAACAAACATGGCTTGTGGCACCACTATCAATTATCCAAGAACCATGGGGAAGATTTGAATATAAAGAAGATAAGCATTGGTGTTGGAAAGTAAGTTTTTGGTTTTCAAATCTAAGAGAAGAAGAAGGAAAAGAAATATCACCAGAAGTGGATTGTGCAGCCATAGCACCATGTTCTGTAACAGTAGAAACTGGTGGATTGATTTGGACATTTGATGAATTTGATAAGGATGATGATTGAGTTAAAGACTGTGGGGAAGGGACTGGAGACTCTGAGACTTGAACATGAGCACTAAGCTGTTGAATCAATGACTGTATCTGATCCGGATTCATCTGATTAACATTCAGATTCATAGAAGTAGAAGCCGGGGATGGTATGTAAGGAAACGGTCCACTCATCACATTAGCAATCGTGTGAGGCCTAGGAGCCTGAAACTGTCCTGCAGGTTGCTGAACAGGAGAACTCATCTACTGAGTAGGTGAATTTTGTTGTGAAAATGGCCTCTGTGATTGATAATAACCAGGTGTGCTCTTGTATCCAGGGATATAACCAGGAGGATAGCCATATTTCTTGAAACATTTCTGAATTACATGTCCTGATTGACCACAGTATGTGCAAACTGGCCGTGGTGCTCGAGGACGATAGCCATTCTGGATAGCAAAAGCAAAGTCAGTAGTATCCTGACCATTATAGAAAGAAGTATCTCCAGTTGATGATGCTGGAGTAGGACCTGAATTGAGAAACACTGCGCTCTCATTCTTAGCAACTGGCTTTATATTTTTCTGTCTTTCATCCTGTGTAACCAAGTTAAATACATCTTCAATTGTTGGTATTGGCTTGAGCATTAGAATATGCCTGCGAGTAGCCTCAAAACTTTCATTCAATCCCATTAAAAACTTGGTAACACGACTCCTCTGCTGCAGTTTTTCCCATAACATTGCAGCATTACACTCACACTTCCCACAAGTACAAACTGGTAACTCCACATAGTTTCTATACTCTTCCCATAGTGTTACTAACTCTGTATAGTATGAACTCACATCTAGGGAACCTTGTTGAATTGTACTGAGTCTCTGTTCAATTTCATACACTCTAGGAGCATCATCTTGCTTGAATCTAGAGATTAAATTTTTCCAAATTCCTTCAGCAGTGGTTATAAACAAGAGACTCTGTCCAATCTTCTTAGAAACAAAATTCATAAGCCATGTAGCTACCATGTCATTACACCTAGACCATGAGCCAAAATCTCTATGTTCCGGAGAAGGTTTAGTAATCGTACCATCGATAAATCCAAGTTTGTTACGCACGTTAAGTGCCATTCTAACAGATCGTCGCCATGAATGAAAATCGGCGCCTGTTTCAAGACGATCGGAAACAAGAGCAAGTCCGGCGTGATCGGAATTATGCAAATAGTAAGGATTATTGTATTGATCAAGATTCAGAGATTGATTTGATGTTGTCATTATCAGTCGCAAGAAGAAACAATGAAATCAATGAAGAATAGAGAATCGCAGATGTGCGATGATGAAGAAACAAGAAAAGATGATAATCGCAGATGTGCGATGATGATGAATAAAGAAAACGAAGAAGATAACAATCGCAGATGATACGAGATGATGAATTTTAATCAATCGGGAGCTAAAATGGAGCTCAAGATCGACGAAGATGATGATGAATTTGAAGATTAGCGACAAATCAGAGGAAGATCTGACGCCATTGAAGTGAAATCGAAGGAAAGGAAGCGGAAGAAGATGAAGTTTTAGTGAGAGAAATTTTCATTGCTCTGATACCATAACAACTTTATGAGAGAGAATCAATTTTGTATTTAGGAATTCTCATCAACCTATAAATGTGATTGTTACAAATATATATATAGTTAGCATCAAGCTAAAGGAGACTTAAGCTAACTAAAATACAAGATTAAATATCCCAATAGTTAATACAAAGTTTATCGGAGGTTTGAATAGTAAGAGTACTGCAGACAGTGCCATCCGTCGTGGTTCGTGTATTGTGGAAAGAGCTTGTCCATCGGATGTCGTATATGCAAATTAAAACTGTCCATTGTGGATCTGACTGTTGCAGAGAGAACTTCATCGTGGAATCATTGTTCGTGGAAGCATTTCATCGTAAACACATATGTTGTACCAGTCTATCATCATGATTAGATAAAATATTACATGATAATGTAATAGGTGACAAAAGAAACAAAAGCAACAAGATATGTGAAGGATATAACAGATCCAACATTTAAAATGGATTTTGGATATTTGTCTAGACAATAAAATATTATGTCAGAACCCGTGCTATGCACGAGTAAATTTTATGGCTCTTAATCTTAATTATTTTGTATATATTAGAATATTTACATTTGATTAATTTATTAGGAATTTTTCATGATTTCAAAAATCACAACGTTGTTGTGTTAGGTTTTATCATATTAATTTATAGTTTTATAAATATAGATTGTTGGAAAATTAACAACATTTTTTTGTTTATGTTTAATTAATAAAAAATTATTAAAAATTATTATTGTATTGATTTTATATGTTTTATAGGAAAATTTAGTTATGGTCGAGTATCCAACGATTTCAATTTTTGCATTTGTATTTAAATACATTACTTATGTTAATTTACGAAGGCAAAAATAATATAGGATCAGTGAGATTTTTTTTTTTTTTTGTCGGCCAAACGGTTCCATTAAAGGCTCAAAGAGCAAATACAGAAGACCCACTAGAGGGATACAAGCGAAATATAACGGCCCACTCTAAATCATAATTAACATATAAACATAATTTAGAGAGTGACACGTGTAGAAGACGCGTTTTTCTCAACCCACACGCGTCAAGATATCAAGCGCCACCGTCAATCGTTCACCAGAAATAGCCTAATTCCGATTAACCACCCCCAATCAGCCATAGAGCGATTGGTATCCTCCTCCTTTTTGCCGATATCCAATCCAATCGAAAGTAGCATCGAAATCTGTCGGATTTATGAAAATTGCTTCACAATTTCTCCGAAAAGCACCAACGTCGGGGAAGCTCTACCACCAGCTACACCCAATTTGATGTAGACTTGAATCCATCTTTGCTCATGCGTGAGTCTTGAGCAAAAGGAGAGTGACGAAGATAATATTTCTCGAATAATTGGAGAAACGGAGAGAATTTGGAAGAAAACGGAAACATCGATGGTCAAAGGTAAAGATGGAAAGAGATCGAAGATTGCTATAAACGAGACAGAACTGGACTTAGCCGGTAACAAAAATCCGACACAAAGTCACAATTTATTGAAATTGTATAAAGACGATAATATACACGGATCTGGTCAAAACCGGAAATAAACTGATACTAAACTCTCTGATTGTCCCTAAAACATATGAGATCTTTAAGAGAGAGAGATCCAAAAATCCTTCTGATCAGTGAGACTTACAAAGCCATTGAATATCTTTACCCAATGAATATATTTATAAACATAAAACTCAATTCCTCTACTTTTACATCTTAAAAAAAAAACAGAAAAAACAATAACAAAAGAGTATCAGTGAGACTGAGAAAGTCATTGTCGCATGTACTTATCCTCCTCTCTTAAGGCTTCGTTTCGAATTCTTCAATCAATCCTTTGTAAATCCTCAAATTCTCCGCAAAGTTCTTCTCTTTACTCATAAGAGTTCATCAGAACCTCGTCGTCATTAATGGGTTAGTGTTACTTTTCCTTTAGAATTTAGGGTTTAGGGTTTTTCATTCCAGAACCAATTCTTGACGAAGCAATTTCAAATCTTGTTTATTTCAGTTACAGCGATGTTTTGTTCATCATCTCCTCCAATTACATCTCTTCTCTACCCAAAAGCTCAAAAAAAACCGAATTCAAAGAGATTTTCCTCTCTGCGTGCTTCATTACCTGTTTCTGATAACAAGCTTAAAGTTGAATACACACCATGGCTTATCGTTGGACTTGGTAACCCTGGATTCAAGTATTACGGAACAAGGCATAATGTAAAAATTTCACTCTTTTACATTCAATTTTGATGTTTATGAATCAAAGTTATCTTCTTTTTCTGATTCTGGATTTGTTTTTGGTTTGTGTAGATTGGTTTTGAGATGATTGATCATATAGCTCGAGCAACGGAGATTTCTATGAACACTATACAGTCCAAGGCTTTAGTTGGGATAGGTTCTCTTCTCACCAGTTTCCTGTTTTTGATGCATTTGTTTCACTTGTTTGTTAGTTTATTTGGGTGGATTCACTATGTGACCAGAACAGGCTCTGTTGGAGAAGTGCCGATTTTGTTGGTTAAACCTCAAGCTTACATGAATTTCAGCGGTGAATCGGTTAGTCTTTCTTACATTGTTATCTCTTGAGTGAAAGAATATAACTGATAATATCTTGTTTATGTTAGATTTGATAATACAAAGGCTTTGGATCTATATTTTAACTTGAAAATGGCGGTATACTTATCTTTGTTTCTTCGTCTTTTAATGTCTTTTGAAGGTTGGGCCGTTAGCAGCTTACTATCAAATACCATTACGCCACATTCTGATGGTAAGTATTGTGTCTTATTGTTTGCTGTGTGATGATGGTGAAATGGAATTGATCAAAAGATTGTGTTTGCTTCTATGATGTAGATATATGATGACATGGGTTTGCCTAATGGTGTCTTGAGGCTTCAACCAAAAGGAGGTCATAGCCAACATAATGGGTAAGTAATGTTTCTGAATAAGGAAGTGATCAATGTGGGTTCTTTTGGTTTTGGAGAAGTTTAGGCAAGGAACCATATATGAAGTCTAAAAGCAAGTACGGGTAATGTCTCTGAATAGTGAAGTGATCAATATAGGTTCTTTTGGTTTAGGGAATGAATCAATGAACAAGAATTGTTCTTTGCTTATAAAGTTACTATAAGGCAAGGAAACATATATGAAATCAAAATTTTCAAATCTCCAGCAATCTTTTCTTCCGAGTGATTGGAATTAGAAATGTTGAATTTTTTTTTTAATTTCTAAACTTAATCCTCACACTCTTGAGGAAGGGAGATGTTATCTTGAAGGACACAAAAGTTCAAGATCCAAGGTTTTTCGATAATGAAGAATAGAAACGAATTCAAATAGTATAAAGCATTTTTATTTATAGGAAGCACATCACACTGTGAAGAAAGTAATGCATCTTCATCATTTATGATTTCTAATCAGAATTAGAATAATATAACAATTTCTTGTGCTTTTCTGAAAAGGCCTATAACTTCTTTTGTTATGTGCCAGATTGAAGAATGTGACAGAACATTTAAATGGTTGTCGCGGCTATCCCCGCTTATCAATCGGTTTGTGTCCTGTTTCACCTTGAAGTCCTGTCGCCAAATACCCTTTTGCAATCATAATAAAATTGTCTGTTGAATTGCAGGAATTGGAAATCCACCAGGTAACATGGACATGAAGGCGTTTCTTCTCCAGAAATTCAGCCCCTTGGAGCGCAAACAGGTAATAAATAAAAACACTTGTATTAACCTAAGTTCACCAATATGCAGTCAAGTGATCTCTGCAAGTCTGAATCTTTTTTGATTAAAGATATTGTATGACTATTTGTTCATTGAATTTACGTTGGATTTTTAATGTATGTGTTGTACTGAATCGTGTTTAGATCGATGCGGGACTGGAACAAGGTGTTGAAGGTGTGAAGACACTCGTTGAAGAGGGATTTAGTGACTCAATATCTCGATTCAATTTGGGGCAGAAATACAAGTTTCACACAGTTTGAGTCCTTCACATTTGCCTCATCGTGATACCTGTCACAGTAACAGTAGTCACACCCATAGTCCAACATTGTTCTTATGCTTTAGTCTTTGTCTAGCTGATAGGTAATATTGTAACTTTTAGATTCTCTAAGATCAATTTTATTGATTTATATTTTGTTATGTGAGTTTATTGATGACAATTCCAATTCAATCAACAATGAATTAGTGATAAAAAAAAGTATTAAATAAAATAAAATTAGCCGAATATATCCATGTTGAAATGATGGATGGTTAAATATTAAAATAAAATTAGATATTATGGTTATCAAAACAAAACAAACGATCAGATATCATCATTACCAAACGAAACTACAAATGATAGATAATTAGGCATGACCAAAAGCTAACCGTAACCATATTTGGGACCATAACCGGACTGTTTTTCAACTGTAACCGAACCGTAACTGTATAAAACGGTTAATAACCGTAACCGTTAACCGTAAAAATAGATTAGTTACGGTTAAAAAACATACTAACCGTAACCATTAATTAACCGTAAACGTATCAAAACCGTTAGTTAACCGTGCGGTTAACCGCATAGTTAACCGTGCAGTTAAAATCTAAAATACATAATTATTTTACTAAAACAGTGCCTTAAATGGTTCAATATGCCTACTACTAAATTTAAACCACTACACTCGTCCACTACTCATTTTCCACAAATCAAATCATAAATAATTTATAAGTTATTATTTCTACTACTGTAATCGTTTCTTAATTCTCATAACATCTTTTCTATAATATTGTTTGGAATACGTATTGTCAATAAAACAATAACTCAATCATTATAATTATTACCATTAATTTAGTTATTTGTTGGTTTACTTAACAAAACAAAATAGCTAATTAACTATAAATATTAAAGTACATAATCACATATATTATATATTGAAAAATAAATATTATTTGATATATCATCATTAAAATTTTTATTTTAAAGGTTAAAAATACCTAAGTTTTAAATAACCGTAACCGTATTTAACCGTATCGTAATAATTAAATAACCGTAACCGTATTTAACCGTAACCGTTGTAACCGTAATCGTATTTAACCGTAACCGTATATATAACGGTTAAAGTTACGGTTTGAAAATTTTATAACTGTAACCGGAGGTTAATAAACTGTAACCGCAATAACTGTAACCGTGGTGATGCCTATAGATAATTGAGGATTAAGGAAATTAATGACCGTTGATCAAAAGATTTACTGGGTCCCACACTTCCAAAATAAGACCGTTAGACGTAAGCAAAAAAAAAAAAGAAGGTAAAATCGTCAACACAACAAAATCTCTGAAGAGTCTCCACTCTAATTTTTCTATCAGACCGTTACGAAAACCATAAAAGAGAAACCTTTTAATTACCATTAAATAAAGTCTTTTTGCAAACAACACAATCTAGTTCACAAAAAAAAAAAAAAGTTCTCTCTTTTACTGAAGAAGTGATCGAGAGATTTTATCCAACAATGGCGGATATAATCTCAAATCCGGCCATGGAACAACTGTTCTTCTCTGTTGATCCAATGTCTCTTATACTCTCTCAAAACTCAGACACACATCAGCTTAAACTCTTGTTAGATGGTTTCTCCGGATTCGAAAGAGGTCCAAGATACGATGAATACTCGAGATTACGTGAATCAAAGCTTCGTATGAAACGTGATTTTCAGAAATTCCTCGAGGAAGAAGACGAAGAAGAAGAGCCAAGGATCAAAAAACAAGTGAGGTTCGAGGGTAATTCTGTAATTTCACAAGAAGATAAGTTCTCGCCGGAGAAGAAGAAACAGAGTCGATTTGAGGGTAATTCAGTAATTTCACCAGAAGAAGATAAGTTTACGCCGGAGAAGAAGAAACAGAGTCGATTTGGGTTTTCGCCGATGAGAAAAGCTGTTCCGTCTTCGTTGGCTCAATCTGTTCCTGATTTCTCCGCTGTGATACGTAAAGAGAATCGTCGTCCGGTTAACTTCAACACTACTACTCCGCCTCCGCCGACTTCGAAGAGTAAAAACGGCGGCGTTTTGTCGGGATCGGCTTCGAGAGGGAGCAAGTCGGCGAGTGCAGGGGAGAAGAAGAGTAAAGGGATGATGATGGGAATAGGAATGGCGCGTAAGAGTTACGCTAATGTTGAGGATCTTAAGAAGATTTCAATGGCGGCTGCTTCTGCTATTAATGGTGGTGGCGGCGGAGGAGGAGGGAGAAAAGTTGGGGAAGGTGGTGGTGGTCGTCGGACTATTCTTGGTTACAGACAAATTTACTGATTTCGTTCCAAAAGCTTTGATTTTTACACGATTTTATTAGTTTTTTTTGTGGGTTTTTGATTGATGAGAAGCAATTACTTTGGATTTGATTGATGATTTTGGGTTTTTGTGGCTTTTTTTTTTTTGGTGTGTTGGTGATTTGATTTGTTTGTAAAAAAATAAAGCATAAATTCTTGATATTGAAACTCGTGTGATTTTTTCATATAATTTTGTCACATTCATAACTTGATTTGGTTCAAAACGATTATGGACCAAATATATATATATATAACTTGACAAAACGACTTGTTTTTGTCACATTCACCTAAACAAAACTATTATATTTAGTTAAAATATATGTAAAATATCTATTTAGTGCATACTTTTGTTACTTAGTTATAATTAACAAAAAAACTAATCAAATAAAATAAATGAAATTTTAAAATAGTAAAAACAATACTATGAAAATCTATATAATAATAACAATCTGAAACTATTATATTTAGTTAAAATATATGTAAAATATCTATTTAGTGCATACTTTTGTTACTTAGTTATAATTAACAAAAAAACTAATCAAATAATATAAATGAAATTTTACTATGATATGGAGACTCTCAAATGTACCACTACACACGCTACAATCGCCTTCTACAGACTGTGAAAGCAACATTTCAACCATTCTGGATTTACAAAAACTCCATGGTTTGCCTTTGGAACAGAAGCTGAAACCACTTTGGTTACTTTGGCATATATGGAAGTTCAGAAACAATTATATTTTCTGACATGAAAGGGATAGCCCAACGACGGTAGTTTTAAAGGCACAAGCGGATGTTAGCGAATGGATTACCAATACTCAACCAGAACCTCATTCACGGACAGGGAATTCATGCATAATGGATCAGTCTTGGAAACGTCCTCCACCGGGTTTTATCAAGTGTAATTTTGATGCAGGTTTCGATCCGATAACAAACAAAGTTACCGGGGGTTGGGGTTTCCGTGACACCAGGGGCAGAGCAACAAGCTGGGGAGCATCGCGGCTATCTACAGCCAACTCACCTTTGGAAGCAGAAGTTAAGGCTTTACTAGCGGCAATGCAACAGGCGTGGATTCGAGGATTGCAAGTGATTTTATTTGAAGGAGATTGTGAGGAACTCAAAGATATGCAATGGACAAGCATTTGACGTCTCCATATATGGCCTCTACCATGATATTACCTTCTGGGCTAGGAAATTTAGTTCAATTTGTTTTCAGTTTACTAAACGATCCTGTAATGAGTCAGCCCATTTATTGGCTAAACGGGGATGTTTAAACACTCTGTTTTTCTCTGCTTGTTTGTACCCGCCTTCGTGGCTCAATGAACAATTGTATCTTGATTATTTTAATTCATCAATATAATTATCCTTTCGACGAAAAATTAAAAAATAATTAACAAAAAACTAATCAAGTAAAATAAATAAAATAGTAAAAACAATACTATGAAAATCTATATAATAATAACAATCTGAATAAATGTTTTTTTTGTAGTTATTAATAATTGTGTATTTTTATCGTAACTTTTCGTTAACTTTTTTAAACTAAATAATATATTTTACGGTTGTGTTTTTTGTAGAAAGTTGCAATCTTAATAAATGTCTTCTACGGTTGCGTCTTTTTATCGTAACTCATCGTAAACGGTTTTGTTTAGTTGAACCATTGTAACATTTAGTTTATTTCATGAACAATTGTAACTTTTTGTTTATTTTATAAATAGTATAACATTTAATTATCTACAATCGCATCTCTCGGTGTAACTTTTTATAAATTATTATTTTTAGTTTTTAACTACTAAAATGTATTAAAATAAAATTCTAACCGTTTAATTGAATTGTTACAGTATTTGATTTATTTGACGAATAATTAGAACTTCTGGTTTTGTTTTATAAATTATTGTAATCTTTACGAACCGTTACAACATTTGGTATATTTGACGAACCGTTGCAATTTTGGTATATTTGATATTTACGGTCACGTCTCTAGTTTACATTTCTTCATATTTAAAAAAAAAATTAATTGCTAAACTATATTTAAATGAATTGTTGCTACCGATTAATACAACATAGTAATATTTGGTTTATTTGACAAACCAATTAGCATTTTGGTCTATTTGACAAACCAATTAACATTTTGGTTTATTTGACGAACGATTGCAACATTTGGTTTATTTGATGAACAGTTGCAACATTTGGTATATTTGATGAACCGTTGCATCCTTTAGTTTAATTATTTGATGTACTATTATAATTTTTGGTATATTTGATGAACTGTTGCAACATTTTTCCTTTATGAAAGATTTTTGTGATCATAAGTTAAAGTTATAATTGTTGATTTGGAGTTGTATCTTTTTACCATGTTTTCATCACAAACTCTTCGTTCCAATAATTGTGTCTTTTACTAACAGTTTCGTTTTGTCTATTTAAAGTTTTTTACATTATATATATATTTTACACCATAACAAAATTATTACTTTTTATTTGATAATTTTCATATAAAAGTGCATTATTTGGCTATCTTATCTAGCATTCGTGTATATTTTGTTATCTATATCATTATCTTTTTTTTTCTAAATAACTATCAATTTTGGTTATTTGTTAAAAAAAATTTCAAGGATTATCTCTTGAACATAACACAATTTAAAATGTGTTATCATTTTATCATTGTTGAATATATTTATATAATTATATTTGTAATTGTTTAAGAAATTAAAAAATTACATCTACTCATTATAACTCTTCGTTTAATATTTTTTTTTAATTATGATCACATCTTTTCACCATAACGTTTTTATAATAATAATATAAATCTTAGTAAATGCTTATGAGGTTATATCTGTTTATCATAAGTTTTTGTAAAATAT